TATACTACTACTATCACGTTGTAGCGCATCCCGATTCCTGAAACGTAATTAAGAGCAAGTCGTTTAAGTTGTGCGTATCGCGGAAAAAATCTTTAAGTTCGCAAAATACAATGCATTATTATTCTCTAAGTCCACTCTCCAGAATAGAATCGTTATCTCTCATGATTCCAAAATTTAAATTTCTTATACTGTGTCTTCTGTATATGATATATATATATATATATTACATAGGTAGCTATGTATATACAATATCTCGTTTTAATTAAACGACGAATAATTAAATTACCTATTAATCATACTGTTTGGTGCTACTGTCGAGAACGTCATATACATTGAAAACAATTTATCATATTAAAACCAATGGTATGTAATGTATAATATTATGTATAGCATTACGAATTCGAAATTGTATGTACTTTTTCATAGTTATTCCGTGCGTATTAATTGAAACAACGTTTACTCAATACATCGACAGACGCGATAGCGATGACCGCGTTATTCTTTACGCTCGCAATAACAATAATAATAATATGTACCGAAAAGTGAAAGTGGAAACGAGCTCGAAAAATGTCTATATAATATATTATAACGTATATTACGGGTCTGCATCTGTCTTGGTGTTGATGACCTGGCATTTTAAAAACCGATAGATCGACCTGCAGCAGCAGTTAGGGTTTCTCTCTCTCACTATATATATGAGCACGAGGAGAGCCAGTTCATTTTTAGCAGTTTCTGGAAGTATACACTACTGCAGCGGTAACGGTGGCGCGGGCGGCGTTATCGTCCGTGTCCCCTCGTTAGCCTTCGGGGAATTGCCAGGGTGGTTTTTATCACTTTCTGTAAAAAATGGATTGTCATCATCATTTACGCGGGCGCGAGCTCGTGTGCGGCGGCGGCGGCGCGGGGTAGGTGTAGTACGCGCACCGTAAGGCCCACGGGACGGAAGAATTCCAGTCGTGAAATTATACGCGTGCTACACTATACTTTTTTCTCTCTCCTTTGCCACACCACACCACCGCTCCCGTCTACACCAGCACCGACCCTGGGTCTGACAGTGTTATTTTTCCTCCGATTCGCACGCCGCAGTTCCTATATATTTACGCCGTACAGTATAACGCGGTTGTCGCGTAATAACTAAAAGTTGTCGTTGTGTTTTTTATATATATATTTCCTATACGCATACACCACTACACGCATCATATATGTATATAGGAAAAGAAACCGTTGTACATTTTCCCATGAGGATCTGTGTATAAAAATGTATATATAAATTTTGTATGTGTATGTCTGTGTCCGTGAGCTTGTGTGTGTCTGTGTGTTTGTGTGCGTGGGTACATTTTTTTCCTCAGCCCCGAGGTCGGCCAAGCGTAAAGAAAAGCTTACCGCCGTCATTAACGTTTTGCGGCGCCCTCTCTGTTTGGGGCCATAGTAAATCATTTAATCTCCGGTCGACGGGACCCAATGCAAACGGGACGTGAAAATTTTTTCGATAGGGTGTTTCGACCTGCTGTGAGCCCCCGCGCGCGTAATATAATATCAAACCAAGTAAAAAATTTCGTTACTAACACCCCACGCACGTGGGCGAATAATAATAATAGTGACGACAGAAAAAAGATCCAATAATTCTTTTCATTATTAAAGTGTTTTATATCACAATGTTATTATACTGAAGCGTAAGCGACTTGTCTAAAAACAAGTATATTATAATAATAATTTTTCTCAAAGGTGGGTAATTAAATGAAAAAATTAACTGGAGTTAGTTACGTTAAGTCTTAAGTTAAGTCAACGTTAAGAACGTTGAGCTATAAGTTATTGGTTAACAAGCAATATATTTAACTTTAAAAGTTTAAAGTTATAATGAAGGAAAATATTAATATAAGTAACTCGGTAAAAATATTTTTTTTTTAATTACTTTCTTATAGAAATTGTGCAACTTTCAATTTTATTTAAATAATAATATGTAAATATTTTGTTTAAAATGTAAGAATAGTCCAGGAATATATTCCTTCTTATTTAAACACACTATACCTCTATGGTTGAACACAAATGTTTATATATTATATAATATACAGTGATATAAAAAAAATAAATAATTAGAGTTATGCAGTATAAAATCTATGATTTTAATTTAATGTATGCATTTTCAAATTAGATGGAAAAATCTTAGATGCTTCAATAGATTCTTTAATTAAGTAAGTTTAAAAAACAAATGTATTTTCCGTGCCTATGCCAAGCATTGATTTCCCTGACAACATCGAAGAGCGCACATCGTATGGGTTTCCTGGCGATTGCAATATACAACTGATGTTAATATATAGAGAAAAAAACGTGGCACATGTATCAATAAATGTTTTCGTCTTATACAACTTTTGGGCAGTCGGCTGCCGTAGGTACGGAAACGTTGAAACGACCTTTTGAATTTAGTGTTGAATATTTTACGCAGATTTCAACGTGGAAAATAGGATACGTGCAACGGTGGCCATTTTCTATACATATGTATACAGTTTATTATATATATGTACGAGTACCGCAATCGTCGCACTGCAGGACTGCGCCGGCGACCGTTTTATTGGCCTTTGCTGGATTTTTATGTCCTACTGTAACGGTTCGGGTCCCTCGGATTTTCACGGCGTTCCCGTCGAACACGCTCGCGTTTTATTGCGCACCATCAAATCTCAATCAAGAGTCAATTTGCCGGATCGGCTGTTTGAGACATTTAGCCCACGGTAGGTACCTTAAGCGTTGATTTACAACCGGAAAGGCGAAAAAATTACCTAAGCTTCAAGTGCCCGTTGCAACGGTCGCCAAGCCGGTCATATATACGTCCGACAACGAAACGCGGTAAGACCAACATAATATATATTTTGTAATCGCCATTTCGTTACAACTATACCTACAATTTTCGTACGCCAAACGATAATATACAACAACAAAATAGCATACATTACAATGACGCGATATTTGCCATATATTCTAAGCACTGTTTATTAGTTTGACCGATTTTATAACACAAATAAACGTTAAACTATCAAACTAGTCGCTCGAACTATGTATACAATGATGCTGCCACGGTATATCATTTATAATATAACGTATACACTGAGAATATATACTTTGTAGCTATAAATGTCCTGCGATAGCGAGTGAGCGATTAGAGTGTACCGCGTTCACCATTATATGTGTACACGCAATATATATTTTAAAAGCGTTCGTTTCGGGTGAAAATGTAAAAATTCGTCGCACTCGACATTCCCAAATATATTACATATGCGTAGAATACGGCGTGTATATATATATAATATACATATATATATAATATACATATATATATATATATTTATAAATGTGTGTGTAGACACACGCGAAATGTAACTGTAGCGCGAGGTGGAGAAAACCAAACGCGAAGAAAAGCGCACGCACCACCGAAACAACATGGCGCCGTCCACCCCTCTGCACGCCCGCCAGCGTGCGCATAAAAGCCGCGGCAGTCGCTCTCTCGCCGCTCCCTCCGACTTCTCTCTCTCTCCCTCTCTCTCACTCTCACTCACTCTCTCTCCATCCGTTCCAGCGGAATTTCACGTCGGGGGTCGTCCCAACACTCTGATGAATGTTTGTAATTATAACAGTCAGACCCGTTCTAATTTCGCCGAATACACACTCTCGCGTATATATACTCTGTGCACCCCCTCGCCAGCGTGCCGTACACTATAGTGCCGCCCACCCTATCCGAAGCACCACAACCCACCCGGCAGCAGTCTTACCGCCGCCGGTGTTTATATGTATACGTACGCGCGGCGCGGCGTACATTACACGGGGACCCGTTCCCGGGGTTACTGGATATAATCCCGAAAGTTCCGGAATCCAAACTTCGGAAACTACATCATCCTTGAGTTGCCGTGACGAAACTCCGAGCCGAGGGATTAAAATTATTTCCCCGGACATTCGAAACAATGTAAAATGCATTCCGGCGCCGACCGACAATATAATTGATAGTAAATAATATATAATATTATAATATCTTATTGCATACTTATAATGTAGTGTTCACGGCCCGTTAATTTAGTGAATGTAGAAGACGATAACTACTGGTTATTATTATTGGCTTTTGCGGTCAAAACGATATTGTTTTTATAATATACGATATCGATAGAGTTAATTCATCACCCGAGTTTGTTAGCCATCATAATATTAATAATATATTTAAATATGTATATCAAATTAAACGATTCGTGGTATTATTTTCATAAGAATTGTGCCGTTAGGTTAATGGTTTTCAATACGACAAGACGTCCTCGTACTCACTGCAGTGAAAGCCCATCAAAATAAAGAGAGTTGCAATCATTATATCCACTCGTACCGACCGACGGTTTATATAGGTACACATTTTTATTATAATAATATATGCATTTTACAGTGATTATTAAACCTCTCTCTGTACGTTATTATAATGTAACGCGCAAGTGCAGGGTAAAAACGTCTGGGTTTCTTTTGTTATCGTGTCGAATATTATGTACGCGTGGAAGGTATGCGTCCGAAATGACTAAACTCTATACACGTTAATATACATTTTGATACTCGTAGACATCTGACATACCTATACATACTATATTATATAGTACGGACAAGGGAATCGGAATAGAAGAGAAGTTCTTTTTTTTTTCTTAAGTGAATGATGATTCAGCGTTTTATTAATACATACTCAGATTAGAGGGTCTTTCGTAATTACAGGTTGATGGTGGATTGGCGTTTTAAAACCATTAAGGACACACTCACATACATACACATAAACGCGCACGCGAGAACACCGGGCTTATCTGTGTGTAACATAATATAATATAATATAATATAATATACACACGTGTATGCGCGTAAAATAGACAATGATGAGACAACGTCGAAATCAAGTTATAAAAACAAAACACAAATTGTATCGTAATGGTTTTTGAAGTACGCCACATTAATATATATTAACGGCGATCTGAAAGATAATGTCGACTTACCAATTGTTGACTTGAAGTATAGTCAGACCGGTGTCTTGAGCAAGTTGTTTTTTCTGATCCTCCGATGGGTAAGGATGCTGGAAAAAAAATATTAAGTTATTCGATAACGGTATATATAATGAAATCCTTTTTATAGAAACATCTGACATATACCCATACATAGTACACATATCTACGCTGTACCTATACGTCTACATTATATCCGTGTACAGTTAGCCTAAACTGTTAAAAAATCGGTTTGTGTTTGCGTGCGATTTCTTTAAAAACGATATAGTTAATATTATACTTGTAGACTTCAATAGTAATTTTTTAATGATACGTCGTCAAACCTTTTTTTTTAATATATATAGTATAATAGTATTACAACTGTGTTTAAATAAGCTCAGACACGATGACGTTTCGAACCAAATTATATATATAAAAAAAAAAAAAAACGGTTTGCAATTGGATCCGGAGGCGTTCTAAGCCGCCCACTTTTGACAAGTGACTTCGAGGTAGAGGATATGTTATTTGTTGTATAATGATGCGTTGTCGAGGTCGCGTGCTCTATACGACATCTCCATTATTCTTGAAAACATCACGTACAATAATAGGAAGGGAAAAATCAGTAATATCAACGCCTCTTTGTAAAATGTATAGCGTTGCCATTTCCGTTGCACCGTCATATCGATGTTCGCGAGAATTATTCTCAACTTTGTAGGCGTATCCCATGGTATACAGCACCATTAACGCCCAAACGGCACGTGACATCCGATATATCAAACGTAACGCGTGTACAGTTATGAGCAAATTATTTTTAGAACAAAAATGTATAACGAGAGCATACGCAGTCGATTCCTCCGCCGAGACAATTATTACAATTTTATCATCGTTACTATTATTATGGCAACACTACGGCCGGTGGGATATTGGAGCAAACGCATTTTTATTCAGAAATTGATATCGAATAACTAACCGAAACTCGTACGATGTTATTATATTTTATGTATCGTAAGGGCGTACGTTCATATATATATATACAAGGTAGGTATTCCGCAATAAAATCACGATATGATATTATGCCGGGAAGGAATTTTCTATCATTTTCATAACGTGATGTATACCCCCTTTTTGTCGGTAGACGAGACCAATAACGATCGAGGAAGAGGTTTTTTATCCCCGTAGCTCGTTGGAAAAGCAATAAAAGCATTAAAGCATTGCCTATACAGACCGATGGGAATATTGGTTCCCCTCTTTTCACATATTTCCCTATTGGTAAGAAAATATATATACAAGCGTATAAAAATAGATGGAAGAATGTGCACGAATATTTTACAACGCGACAGCTCTATATGTATATAATAGTGTAACTCAAAAACCCGAATATGTGATTCAAATATCCGATCAGTAATAACATACTAGGTATACCTATATTTCCTACACAACACACTAGCAATAAGAATATTATATAGTATTATATAGATTTAGAGTTATTCGAAACGTGTACTGTGTAGTTATTTTGAGCTGTCAGGACCTATAGATTTTATTAAATTTAGTTTAGCTTAACGTTAAAATAATGATTTGTTACTAAAAATACGATTTTATATGTTTCAAAATCGTATATGTTATGGTAATATAGATAATTATTTTAATGCAGTATTAAATTATGGTGTGGTAAATACCACACCATAATTTCAAAAATTAAAGTTATTAAATTTAATAATAGTTGAATAAAAATAACTAAATTAAATGTATGTAATTCAACTATCACGAATTCAGCTATAGTTAAGTATGTTTGCTATTAATCAGATTTTAATATATAATTAAAATACAATTTTACGTGCTGGTGAATAAATAACTAGCGATACATCAATAATGTTTGAATACGAACTTAACCTGTACCGAATTGTTGTTTAAACACTGATACGACAAGCGTGCATCTAAATTTAATTCCGAGGGTCATTTACCAAAATAAAAACTGAAGGGGAGAAGTGTGTGCGTTTGAAACCGCTGATAAAGCACGAAGATTAAACTCCGAAAAATAGGCCTGTGAGCACGTAGTTCCGTTTTTGAACTGAATCCCAAATATCCACGACGGTCGCTGAATGTTTAATGGAGCCCGATTGAAGCCTCTAGGGGCCCCCGGGGGTGTGTATCCCCCCGCCGTTTTAGGACCCATTACGAATGCCAGTTGCATGACCCTTTAAACCAAAGTGAGAGAGAGAGAGAGAGAGAGATACAGAGAAAGTGAGAGAGACGACACGACAGTGAAAGCACTGAGATAAACATTTTCCGTCGTATACCCGCGGGAACCCGTCGCTGGCAAAGTTGAAAAGGACAGGTTGATTGCGCGTATAAAACCACCGTACTCAAATGTGATTGAATAATCGGAAATATTATTATTAATATCGTAATAATAATAATAATAATAACGTTTAATTAATTAAAACTTAAATGGCGCATAAATTCAGTACATAATTTTAAAGACATACATATATTATATTATTATCCACCTATCGATTCGGTTTAAGTAAACGTATATATTATTAGCTTTTAGAAATCCAAACGACGAAAAGGGCAAAGTATATTTTATGATGGCATATAGAGGCCGTTTCCTTTAACAACTATAACACACGAAGATTTCCTGAGTAGTATAAACCGCAGCGCGCGTCGTAGATGGGCTATTTCGTTCTTCGTTCAGCCAATATAACAAACAACAGCAAGGGATCTGAGGAAAAGAAAAGGGTCTTCGGGGAGTCGTGGTGACTATTTCCTTCCCGGATAAACGACACAGAAATGGAAAAAAGGTTTTTTTTACTACAATGTAATAGTATAGCGCGGTATGCGATGCTAGGAGGCAGTTTAGAGGGACGACTCTTAGCGGCCACATTGATGCGTCGTTGAGTCATTCACATATTCATAGAATCGCCCTCGCCGAGGCAGTTTTCCTAAGCAATTTCCGCACCCCTCTCCGGATTGCTATCTCGTATATATACGCATATTATGCGCACCTCATCACCATTTCACATGTTATAATAATAATTCCGGAGTTTGCGCACAAATCGGACGAAACCCGTTTTCGCGTGCTTTACACGCGTGCTATATTTATTATTATACCATATCGGGTTTAATCTAAATGAATGTATGTAGAGTTTTTGCACAGCACATGAGAGGAAAAAAGGAATTGTATAATAATAACGTTATTATTATTATTACTATTATATAGACGTGTACGGGTTTCCTTTAGGTATAAAAATATATAAAACATGATTCGATTATATTGTGTTACGACGGCAGTAACGCACTATCAATTTAGAAGGTAAATAATGATTATTCACCCATTACTTTTTATTTATCTGGTAAATTTATTGTCGTTACGACCGTGTAACAGGAACTCACCGATCAAAACACGGGTTATTACATCAAGGTAAAGGCTGGGATCGTAAAAATCCCATCAAGATGCAATACAGGCTATACGGAAAAATCCATCCAAGGCGGATGTATACGCCATAAAATTCAACCCCTGTTTTAACATCGAATCCACGACTACTATAAAGACAACGATTAGGGGATTGTTATTATACGTAGAAACTTTTTTGATTTTGTTTTTCGCAATTTTGTAGATTTTCAATAGTTTAGACTACGGAGGGTTATGGGTCTTCGACGAGTATACAATTATCACGTTACAATAAGTAAACCGTGATTACAATTATCGTGTGAAAGTTATACAACTACTGTATCAGATGTGTTATACGCGATTCTTGACGAAACTGAAGTTATCGTCATACTACGGGTTAACAATTAATACAACAATCGTGCCGTTCGTAATAAAATTCAATAGAGGGTTTTTCATTGTATACGACAATCGACAAAATATAGGTGGCAGGTACTGTACCTACCTATATTATTAAAAAAAAATATATATATATAAATGAAACGTGTGAGAACAGGTACTGTAATTCTGGTGTCCTAACGCGTGAACGCGATAAAGAGAAAAACCCTCGGTACTTTGTTTTTTCCCTTCTCTGTCCAGTTAAATTTACGACGCTATAAACTCATATTGCATTGGGTGTAAATCTTGACGGGGTAGCAAGCTTTCCCGTTATATGCACTTCAGGTGCTAGACTCGGTTAAAACACGCACTAGTTATGTAAGGGCGCTTCACCAATACTTTAAACTCGATTAACGTTAATCCGGAGTTTAATCGACGAATTTGACCGGTAAATATCTGTTATTCAGTCTATTAAGCGTAATCGAAGTTTAAAGTATTGGTGAAGCGGCCCTAAGTGTATAATAATACGTCTTTAACTACCAGAAATTGATGGCTAATCAAACGTTCCTTCCATTTATAGCATGCCAATAAAAAATAACATAGGACGATTTGTATCTAATTACGTCGGCAGATATATTGTATTATTCTAATATTTAGTCCAGTCGTATTGGTGCCGTTGTTATTAAAAATGCAATCCATATTCAGAACCTAAACCGTTCATACACATTTCGGGTTTTAAACGTAAGAATATCGAAAACGAGCCTAAATAATGTACGATGTCCCTCCCATCTATATATTTATATGTATACAGTATACACTATACACCTGCGATAGAAATTCGATATATTTTACACAATTTAAAAATAAGGAACTTTATTTTGTCATCGAATTAATATTAATACCTATCGATATTAATTTTTTTTTCTAGACAGTTAAAATGTACTGCTGTAAGAATATTGACATTAATATTTAATCGACATTTGATACTCACAAGATACTCCTTTGCGAACGATTGTTATATTTATTTGTTGTTACAGTCGGGTGACTTACAAATAATAATGAACAAATATGTACCAAATCGAAATAAAATCTCAATGATATAAACACCGGGAAGGACTCATCGTAAGATAGGCAAGGACAAACACATAGTGTGTTTTATAAGATGTATTCTGATATTATTTCCGGAGCAAATAAAAAATAAGGATTTTGTTTTACCCCCTATAGTCTATACTAACCTAACCTAATAACTATTTTGCTTTAAAGTCCAAGAATTATAGTTTTATTATAGGTATATACAAATGTATTTGTATGAAAGAAAACGAGGTG